TGGAAATTTTGTATTTATTACTTTTCACCAGATACAACGCTCTAAAATTACCACTGCCTTCAGACGCAAGCTGTTCATCCTTCAGCAGAATTTCGTGCAAGCGTTATCTCATTTCATCAAAGATTATTATTATTATATTGCGTAATATATTTACAGTAAAAGTTGGATAATTGCAGGGGACGACTCGTTGAGTCATCCTCGACGAGGACAGGCATTATTACGAGCCTCGTGAATATATTTTATTTTAATTCTCTTTCGTTATCCTGTTCTATATCCGATAGAAATATAAAAACAATTTTTTTTCGAATTCCGACAGATCCATCAAATTTCGAGGTAAATTTTCGCGCAAAATTCATCAAACGTATAAATTACACGCATCATTGGTCGTAGAAATAAACGATCTTGATCAACTTGTTCGAGAAAAATCTCGATGATGGTTTCAAAGCAGATGCGACAATCCCAACGGCGCGTGGTTTACGAGCGAGTTTTAATGGTCGGCCATTTTTAATATACAGCGGGATCCTGCGTTTCTGTGAAATCCACACGCAGTTATTTACGCAAGGATTGCTTTAATGTTTACGAGTAACGTCGTGAATTTTTCAACTTTAATGGACCGCTGCCGAGAATCTAGAAATAAGGGGTTAAGATGGGCGGAAGTTACTTCTCGGTTTCGAGATTGCAGCGATGAAATGTCGGGCGATAACTTTTTTTTTCGAAGCAGCTATTATCTCTGATTCAAGCAAAAGTCGGGTTATTCTTTTATTTTTGTGTCAAAACTTCGTGCGCAGGGGATAGGAAGGAATTAAAAAGATTCGACTCTGGTGAGAAGAAAGTGAAATCAATTTAAAATTAGAAAATTTGGGTTATATAAAATCCAGATACGATATAATGCAAAATTGATCGTTCAAAAAGCGAAATAACAAAAAATTGTTTATAATATATTTTATCACGTTACTGGTTTCCAAAGTTTAAATTTCTTAATTTAATCCTCTTTCGTCGCGCGTGAAAAATATGTAACGTAAAAGTAATTTTTAACGCTTCATTTGTTATAACAATTTTCAAAGAGATATTCACGAATCGTGAAAAATTGTCAATCGTCAACATTTGTGATTCGAATAACTCTGTCGCACGATACGATACGACAAAAGGAGGCATTGATGTATGAATTCTGGAAAAAGTACACTATCAATCGCTTTGTACTTGATCACAATGAATATATATATTTTTACTTGAAAAACGAATACCTACGATTTCACGTTGATTTGCACAAATAACACGGTTGTTCACCTGCTTCAAAAGACGTTTATAACACGTACACGATTATTCTCCCAATATCTTGTAACCAATCGAAATCGCATTATGGAATAACCTATCTTTCTCGTAATTTCAAAAACTGTTCCCTTTATTCACTGACAATTCCTCGAATCGACAAACACGACGAATCGGTGAAACACGATTGAACGACGAAAAAGATCTATCCCTGTAGAACACACTCGATACACAGAACGAATCCAATCGCGTCACACACAGATGCACGCACGATACGCGTCATCGTTGCAAGAAATGAATCCTCTCTGTTGGAGGAGGACTTTCGTTCTCGAAAGAGCGAGATAAAAATTTTCTTCCAAAAGCAAAAAAAAAAAAAGAAAGAAAGAAAGAGAGAAGAAAAGAAGAAAAAAACCGAGTACTTGACGAAAAACAAAACGTACTAGAAAGGAAAAAAATCTTGAGAGAGAGAGAGAGAGAGAGAGAGAGAGAGAGAGAGAGAGAGAGAGAGAGAGAGAGAGAGAGAGAGAGAGAGAGAGAGAGAGAGAGAGAGAGAGAAGAGAAGAGAGAGAGAGAGAGA